AAAAGCTGAGGCTAAGGTTGCTTACTTGCTATTGGTTGATTGATTGATTAAATCGTGTATGGATGGGCTGGGATAGGATGGGATATATTCAAGAGCGTATAAGTACAAGTACAAGCATTGGGTGGACGGATGGATTGGGATGGATTGGAGTTATACTATATATAGCATGTAGGATTCGGGAATTGAAAAGGAGAATTATGGATTTCAATCTGGCTGAAACGCGGTTCGGTCGTGTTGGTTTACGTGAATCTATCTGTGATTGATTATTTGTAACGATCGGCGCTGCACTTGCGCGGAAGTGAGTGTCTGTCTGTCTTTTAATTCTGAGGAAAGATACATACTTAGTAACTAGAGGCTTGGTTGAGCTGAGAGAGTCCGGCAAGATAGAGGCATGCCTTGTTGACACAAGGCGTGAAAGAGTATAGGCACATGCGAGCTATCTACCACAGTCAGTGCCTGCCCATAGGGAGTGGTGGAACACCGTTTGCTTATGGAAGCAGAGAGGAGGGTGCGATCGACGACGTCGTCGCCATTTCTCAAACTCGATAATGCCGTTCCCGGCATACCACCTGCTCGAGAGTTTCTCCATGTGGGCGGAAAGAAACTCAATTTGTTAAGGTTAGCAACAATGCTGGCAAATGTGCCTGCCTGTCAACTAAACAGCGAAACTTGCTCTTCCTTCCCTGAGGTTCTTTAGGGATCATGGCATGCCTGTCCGCTGGGTAAGACTCAATATGATTTCGAACTCGCGGTTAGGAGGCATATATATACCACTTAGGTACGTGAACAATGCTTGCATGTCCACTTTTGCAATTATTACCAGACTACTAGACATGCCCCTCTCCTCTGTCTTTGCTATATATCTCTTTCACCTCGTCGAGAATGCCGCCGATAGCCTCGGCGTAGCCCATAAATTCAAGTCCTGTTTCCCTACCCAGGTATATCGCAATCTTCAGCCGCCAACTGCTGACCGCCACCGCCACCGCCGCCGCAAAACCAACTTCGGCGATCTCAAATACGGTCACACCGAGTAATTACAACGAGTAGACAGACAGACAGCCCGTAGCTAGTCGAAGCTCACTCACTACTGGCCTACTTTGCCAATGTCAATCAAGGCCACAGGGGATAATTAATTGGCCAGTTACCGATCTTGGGATGTGCGAGACTCTGACCGTAGTTACACCCCGGGAGAGGCATCAATTATCATGTCCCTCTCCTCTCTAGGTAGGTACTTACTTACTTACTTGCCCAGCACTAAGGAGGTCGAGGAGCGAGCACTCACTCCTCCAGGCTCCTACGGAATTCTGCGCAGGGTGCTTACTTATATCGCCGTCTGGGGCGGGGGGTAAGGGGCAAAGGAAGGAAGGAGGTTTGTTTACCTTGATGAGACTGATGAGGCGAAGCCGATCTAATTAGATGCGCCGAGCTACCTGCGTCGGGCGGGCTATGGGGGAGAATCCTTTTAGTCTCAATGCTGTGATCCATGTTTGCCTCATCAATATCATGACTTGAACTTCACACATTAAAATCAAACTTGGTAAATTTTCGAGCTGCCTGCCTAGGTCCAATACGAGAGGAGAAAAGTACGGCATTATCGACATAATGATATCCCTCCCGTGCTTTTGACTCACGCGTTTGCAACCCATAGCGACTTGAACCCTGCTACCCAAAACCAAAACATCAAAACAACCAAGGAGTCAAATTAATTGTGAGGATCGGTAGTTGACTATATGAGTACAAGATTTTTAGGACTAGATTCGCGCAATACTATAATTATCGACAAAGCTAATAGCTTAAACAACCTCTGCGAAAGTCCGCCTACATAACGAATGGTGAGATTATACTTTCTTTTCATACAGCGGTCGGACTTGTTTGCGGAGTTACATCAAACCTACCTAGGCTCTTCCAAACAGTCCCAGCGCTACAATCCGCAATGTCTTTGTCTCCAGAATTGAATCATTCAGTGGCTAGGAATTAGAGTTTCCCCCGAGTTCCACTTTAGTAAGTAAGTAGTCGACAAGAACCAAGCACTAAGTACAACGCATGAACCAAAGTAAAAATAGACTGTTTTGAGATCGCCTCCTCGTCATGCAGCAAAGATCCTCCACCTTCAACAACGATCCTCCGCCCAACACTCCATACTCGCATAATGAGGTGTACAGTAAACAAACCCAGCAAGTCGCCTTATCTAAGTATTTAAGAAAACTGCGTAAATCAGATTTTGGTCTCATGCATATCAAGAGGTAAGCTACCTTGGGCAGGACAAGGGCTGGTCCGCCAGCGTTAACGATTTACTCAGACAGGCGCGGGATCACGCGTCAAATGGACTTGCGCTAAAGTGAGGGGATCTATAAGCAGGCAAGTGATTAAAAAAACATATAGGTCAAGCGTCAATTAATTCTATTGACTCCTGGGCTTCTTTAAGACACTTAAGAGTCGTCCAGTCATTACATAGCAGAAAGCAGAAGCTACCCAGGTAATCAGGATGCAACAAAGTTATATATTAGGGAGGATTCGAGCGCCACCAGTCTAGCTAGCTATATCCAGTATATATGCCTTCCGACTGACGCTCATAGCGTACCTGCCCTACAGTGAGTCCCTTGCAGGGTATAACCCGGGTACATACGAGGCTCCTTCCACCTTACCGTCCGCCGTCCGGGATCACGCCGATCTGATTAGATCAAAAGATAAGGATGTATTTTGGTGAAGCACCCATGTGTAACCAAATAACCTAACAATTTTTAGCATTCTACATGCGAAATTTTGTATATTTATAAGGAGAGGCATGGAGTCCAGAGTCGCACTACGTATGCACCAGTCTGATCAAATTACATAGATGAAAACACTCACCACTGAGTACCGATCTCACAAATTTCAGCGGCCAGTCTAGGGACAGATGCGAGAAGGAGGTACCGTAAATATCAGTCTAAGCGACGGACATCTGCACCATTGTCCGTCACGCTACAGCAACATAACACCGACTACCTAGCCAAAGTACCTACCTCAAGCAAGATCTGGACAAGGTTCACCCTCACGCGAAGCCACATACCGAGGAAGCAACTATTGCCACAAAATGACCAGATCACACACTCTGCTTGTCTGCCGAAGCAGGTCAGAAAAGGCGACCTTGGAAGATTGGTCACGGGAATAATCGCTGTACTAGTTGTACGGTCGCGAATATTGCAGAAAGATGGTCCCAAATCGCTAAAGCCGACCGGAGTATCTCGAAAATCCGACTGTTGAGATACCCGGGAGCACTATTATCATCCCTCGAAGAATTATTTGATGCACCCATAGTCACAGAACAGACGTGTCAGTTACTTAAGAGGAATTTTTCGATAGTAGTTTTTCGAGTCATCATGCTTTACCACTATTCACCACGAAAACAACATGGTTTGCTGGTTCTCATACCGTAAACCAAGTGAGTACCTAGGCGCTCTGAGGGCTCTGCTAAGGCCGCGTAATGTGACCTGCTTGGACATGCAGACAGGAAGATGCTCGAGGCTAAGCTACTCACTGATCGATACGTGACCCCGTCACCACAGGCACTTTTTGCCTTACCTGGCCCGCGGTAGGAAAACGTAAGGTAGTGCTATCTAATTTCCACATTGCGTGCCTAAACGAAGTAATATAGGGTTCGGTCGTGCTCGTTGTTGTAAAGGCACGATCCGGAGGCGGTCTGCCCTAGATAACAACCCTATCTGCCGAAGCATACTAATCAGATTGAAATAGCTTCAGGAGGTTTGCGACAGATGTACCCGGGCGGACTAGGTAATGCCTATGTCGCGTATCACGCAGCAGCAGATACTTCAATAGCCGAGTCCAAAATAAGTACTTTAGGAAGCCGACCATCCAGGTATTCGGTGGTACTATCTGCATTTCGCGATGGTTCGCATGGGTAGGTGTGTAAGGAGGGATGCAGATGTTTGTGAGACAATGCAGCACAACCACTTTCAGATTCTCAGCCCCCTCGCTACAGCCCAGGCCATATATTAGACAAACATTTCGAGGCCACGGTATTGAAAGATGGACCTCCTTAAATAGAAAGTTGACCGTGCAAATCTAGTGTCGATGCATTTAATTAGCATTCCAGGACCGCGACCATCAAGGTATCCAGAAGGACCGATCTCACTTCCTTAGGGGTTGGTCACTCAGGAAGGAAGTTACGTAACAAGATTCTCTCTCGCCCGTGACTGCTCTACAACGGTGATCTGAGCCCTACCTACCTCTGCCACATCTCCATCCCATCACCATATTCGCACGCGTCGTGCGACTCGATAATTATATTTGGGTGCTTGGGAGGGCTATCAACGAGATACTCGGGGTTTCTAACACCTCATTCTCAGCGGTTTTCGCGTGGAGATACTCACGTAGGTGAGTATATAGGAGTTTGTGCAAGAAATGGTTGCAGCTACGCCACAACGAAATTTCGTTACGCGTCACTATCTCACCGAGCAAGCAGCGGTTTCCAATACCTAAGAAGGCTCACCCACCCTAACCCTTACCCTGCGCCACAAACTCATCGCCGCAGGCGCAACACCAAAACGAGGACCTGTATACATGTAGGTAAGGTTCATGTCTAACGAGCCAAGCAGCAGCCTTGCCTGTACGGCTGTTAAGCAGCTACTCACTCACCCAGTCACTCACTCACTCACACGGCAGCGCCTTCTGCTTTCCTCCGTAAGTCCACGGTTTTTGCCTTTTTATCTTCGGTAGCCAGTAGCCCCTACAGTTCCCTAGGCCATGCTCATCATGTGACGCTGCCACCCCCGTACATACGTAGTCTCGCAACTCTACCTCCGAGCTCCGAGCCTTTCTCTCTGGCTCTCTCCCAGCTACCTCTCTCCCTACCGCTTTCCTGCACCTCGTCACCCCTAACCCATAACCTTTCCTTCTGCATACCGTACATCCCATCCCATCCCAAGCTCATATAGCTAGCCCGCCGCCAGCTATTAATTACTAAGTATACAACCAACCTGCCTCTTGGCACAATGGTAAAGGCCATCGTGAGGAAATGGTAACCTGCTGACCTCCTAAGTCAGAAACTGCGGGTTCGAGTCCCGCCGGGGGCTATGTCTACTCCTTTTTATTATTATTTCTTTCCCTCTCATGCATTCTCGCTGCCTCCTTTAATCCCAGATCAAGGCCTAGTCGTGAGTAAAGTTCTCGATAGCTAGTACCTCCCCTATCGGGTGCTTGCTAGTATACTTACCTACTTACGTAGATGACATTAATTGAAGCCTTACCTTCGCCTTGCACCCTTACTCCCACCCTCTTCCCCTCCCCCCTTCTCCCCCTATAAACTTCGCCTCTCCTTCTACCTCTACTTCTACCTTTGCCTTCACTTTTGCTGTTGCCACTACGACTACCTGCCTCTCAATCCTAAGTTAATATACCGAAACCAGCCCGCCCCCTTCTTTCTAACTCTCCTTCTCTTTTCCATCTTTACTATCATCGATTGCGAACAAGATCTCAACAGCCCATCTTTCCCTTAACGTGTCTGCACCCCTATATAAGCTATACCAATACCACATTATCGCGCTACTCCCTCCCTCCTTTGCGAGCCATTATGCCCATGATCTTGCATGTACAGTAGAAATGTGTGCGTGCGTGCCCCTTATCTCGCGTCTCCTTCTCGTTTTCCTCCATCTGCCCCTTATCCTTGATCCAGATAGCGAGTGATGTCACCTCTCCTCTCTTAGATACTTAGGTACTACGCATGCATACATGCAGTGTACAGAACACGAGGCAGAATCCCACAGACCCGGTCCAGCCTCATGATCATGATGCGGGATTCGAAATAAGGTTACGTCGGAACCAGGTAGGTCCCTACATTGCGTGGCATCGCATGGGATGATGTGCGTCAGCTGGTCCGAACACAACTGAACACGAACATAACACGTAGCATCAATAATAGGTACCTAAGTGTAAATAAGTGTTCAAGCGCATCGGGACGCATCAGCTATCAAAAATATATATATGTACCTTAGTATCTTAACAAGCCCCTTAAGGAAGGGGTAAAACAGCAAAGGAATTACATGTTAAGCTATAGTCCTATACATGACTAGAACATACGCCTTTGCATATCAATGGTTACACGATAGGCGATCAGGTAGCTACGAAAACTGCTCATTTAATTACATCGTACCAAAGTCCATCTAGGTACTTTGACTCACCCATGCACTGATTGCAGTCCAAGTATAAGGTTTACAGCGTTTGAGAATCATGCAGGTGGTAACTATTCGATACGGCTATTATAGAAGACGTCCGTATGTGTGTGTGTAGCAAATAATATAACATAATTTCGTTCCATTCATTCAAGTCATACTTACTAGGTAGGTAATGATGTAACCTACCTACCTAATGTCCCAACACAAACTCCTTAACCTTAGGTGATCAAACCCGTAACATGCAACCCAAGAAACAACCCGTCAACTCTCCGTGACCCATTCACTTCAATTACCTGCCACATCTAAGCCAACGACCCCATCGGGTCCCAAAGGGGCAGCACAATGGGCTCCTTCTTCAAGACGTCCTTAACCTCCGCACTCAAGAACCGTCGATCAACAACAGCCTGATAAACAAACTGATCCATCCACTCATCCGTCATGACGAACCAGCCCTTACTCCCCGCATCCGTGCCCCACGAGTTCTGCACGCGCCAGCGGACCGGCTCCTTCGTCTTCTCATCAAGATGAACCGCCGTAAGCACCATAGCATGCGTCATCTGCGACTCACCAGAGCGCAAACGGCCCGCCTTATCCATGACCTGCGTCGCATACATATCGGTATCAAAAGCGAGGCTATAGTTATGGAGGCCCAAATCCATGATGCCCGAGGGCGTGTCAGAGAACTTGCCGACGTCAGACCCGAAGAAGACAGGGAAGCCGGCCTGCAGCATAGCGACGCACGCGCGTTTCAGCATTTTCATCTCGACATTGACGTAGGTGATGGCGCGCCCGCCGACGACGTTGCCGAGGCGGTCGACCGTCATGCGCGTCAGCGGCGCGTGGCGCGGGTCGTGCACGAGCGAGACCATCTCCTCGATGGCCTTGGTAGAGATGCTATGGACCCTCTTCGGCGGCCCGCCGACCCAAGCCACAAACACCGTGCCGTCGATGGCGTCGGCGAACTCGCGCGGCGTCATGCGCACCGTGCGCGCCTGGCCGTGGCGGTTGAGGAACTCCCAGGTGAAGGGCTCGGTGCAGGCGGGCGGCGGGCCGAGGGTGAGGGTGAGGATTTTGTGGATCTCGCGCATCATGTCCTCCTTCATCTGGGCGACCTTATCGCGCGTCGCCTCGGGGCTGCCGTGGGCCTGGGCCATGACCTCGCGCAGCTCAAGGGCGTATTCGCGCAGCTTGCCGACGACGACGTAGTTGACGGTGCTGCTAGTCATGGCGTTCCAGGAGTCGGGGTACAGGGCCTGCGGGACGAGGCCGTACTTGCGCACAAGATTATAAACCATGTCCCACTGGCCGCCGTCGCTGGCGGGGTCGGCGAGGAGGCGCTGGACGAGGCGGCCGTCGAGGTCTTCGCCGGCCGTGTCGATGATGTTCTCGAGGAAGTAGTTGGCCTTCTCCAGCTTGTCCCAGTAGAACAGGTAGGCCTGCGACAGCTGGAAGCCGTCGAGCGCGTACTTCTGCATGATGGCCACGCGGAAGATGTTGGTGCTCGCAAACAGCCAGCAGCGGCCCGAGGCGCGCTGGTCGGTGATGGGCCCGCCCTCGAACGGGATGCGCACGTTGAAGACCTGCTGGTCGGCGATCTTGGCCGCGCTCGACATCAGCACCTGCTTGGGGTTGGCGCTGCTGAGGGCCGCGAGGGCGAGTTTGCTCTTGTCGTCGTCCAGCAGTTCTCCCTGCCAGTCGCGTGTGAGCTGTAGGTCCAGCGACTCGGGGCTGCGCTCGAGCTTGACGCTGCTGTTGCCGCTGCCGCTGCCGCTGCCGTTGCCGTTGCCATCAGAGGCGTCACTTCGGTTCACGATGATGTACTCATCACCGCTGCTGCTTGAAGAGGTTGGGCGGCTGTGATAGGTGTTACCCTTCTGCCCCCTCTGCATTAATCCCATCGCGAGCTGAGACCGCGAGTACTGAGCCAGCCACTCAGCTTGGACTGCGTCGATAGTGCTGTACATCATTGGGTAATATCAGGCACCGAAATTGAATCGAAAAGTGAATATGAATGAGTTAGCTAGCTACTTGGGTGCCTGATGCCTGATGCTTGGTGCTTTCACAAAAGAGCAAGGCCGTAGTTAGACCAGACGAGTTGGTGTCACGGATCGGACTACAAGACAGACAGCCATACACTAGGTACAATGTATATAGGTAAGTTTGAGGAGATAGATGGAAAGGCGAAAACAGCCAAGGACACCTATCTGATTTAAGAAGGTGCAGTTGTCGCTCGTGGCCAGTGGTATGTAATAGTATGCATGAGGAAAGTATGTAGCTCAGACAAGACAAGACGTGCTCCCGATAACGAGCTGCGGGATGAGGGGTTGTCGTTGGTGATGATTGGTCATCGGTACCTATCGTCGGCGTCGGGGCATTGGAGCGGTCGCTTTGAGGACCCGGATGGCCGGTCTGTAGTTGCAAAGCACAGGCAAGCGGCTGCAGTAGAACTTGGCCCTTTCTCGCTCACATACGCCGATCTAAAGGGGCCACGTTTTGTTACGACCGCGGACGGGCTTCGGAGGTCGTATAAGAAAACAACCTAGGTACGTATGAAGCCTACATAAACTACTTCAAGATCAGTCCTCTATAAATAGGAAATGAACAACCAATATGAAGATTACTTGTTTTTCTATCGAGAATGAATGCAAGTAATGATCTCTTCCAAAGAGTACTTTTATGTGAGATCTGCACTGCGGATTTGGATGCGGAGTCCGCTGCCTGCTGCTCGTACCTTTTACCTACCGGCGTACATCTACACATCATACCTCGTAACCTTAAACGGCGATTGGTCATTCCCACAGCAGATGAGCAACTTCTAAGCACAGATAATGTTTGAGTTGACGAAAGCATAGTGAGATGACGAAGCGGGACTGCTGTAGAAGTCATGGACTGATAGACCTTCAGTACTTAGGTACCTAAGGTATGATGGAATGTAGGTTTCAATGATGGTGAGTCAGAACTGAGCAAGGTAGTCAAGAAGGTATAGCGACGGAGAGACACATAACAAACAGTACTGCACCCTGACGTGTAGCATTGGCATTTACACATTACTTATTGTACTTACGGTCGCCAGTCTGGGGCGATGTTACAACAGCAGGCAATACGAGTCACGACCAGATGATCACACGAAAGCAGCGACAGAAGACCAAGATATGAGACGTCCATGATACCAACATTGTATTAATCGACGACATACAGAGCTATCTACGCGATGTGCTACCATGAGATCTCTTTTTACATAGTCCTTCCCTTAGAAAAGAAACAGGACGAGGTTTGGCAGGGGCCTTTATCGTACTTGCCAGCAAAGCATCTCGGGAGACGAAATGAATTGAAGGGGGTTGGAAAGTCCATACATCATTAAAAGCTGACAAAGAGAAAAAAGGTGTTTACAGGCGGGAGCCGTGGACGACCTTGACGTCGACGACGAGCTCGGCGCCGTGGTCGTTGAGGACGAGGACGCGCACACTGCCGTGGCCCTTCTGGAAGGCCGAGTTGAGGCGCGAGTACAGGCCGGACTGGTCGATGACGGGCAGGTTGGTCTTGACGTCGCCCGACTCGGTCATGGCGGTGACGGAGCCGTCCTGGATGTCAAGCACGCGGTACTGCTTGAAGACGGGGCCGAGCATGGTCTGCACCACGACGCTGGGCGCCGGGTTGGACACGAACGACGACTCCTCGTGCAGCTGCTTGCTGAACAGGTCGACACCCAGGTAGCGGTGCTGGCCGGTGGCAGCGGAGGTGGAGATACGGATGACCTGGCAAGGACGACCCTGCAGCATCAGGATGTCACCCATGCGGATGTGGTGGCACGGGATGGTCACGGTGTTGGGGATGGTGGAGTTGCCTCCAGTAGGGCGAGGAGCTGGGGCATTGTAGCTGCCGCCCTGGAAGCTCTCGGAGCG